ACACACACACACACACACACACACACACACACACACACACACACACAAACATTAACTGGCCTGCAGGCCTGTAAGAGTGGAGCATGTCGATGGGCGTCTGCATTATTTAGAACGTGACACCAGACACACAGTGAATCTATTGTGATGAGCATGATGGGCAGCAGTCACCAGGGACCTGGCTGACACCAGCTGGACGTCTCCAGGGAGGAAGTGTGGACGGGTCAGAGGGGAGGGAAGAGGGGTGGGTGACAAAGAAAAAAAGAGATTAGAGGGTAGAGGGTAGAGATAGGAGGGAAGATGTGGTTAGAAGGTGAGAACGACAATCACTTTTCTGAGTTTTCCCCTAGTTTCATTCAAGATTTTACGACAGGAGATGTAACACACCTAAATTATGTGAAATCATATCACAAATGAACAGTCTCTCATGAATATTATCCACCTCCCCCAAGTCCTTTAATGCTGCAACTGAGAAAGACAGGATAGACAGCCAGAAGTGAGACAAAGGGACACAAGTTAGAGAAAAGTGAGAGGTTTTTGGTGAGTTTGCTTCACAGTAACTGCCTACTCACATGCTGCCGCTTATCTCAACCTGGCATCCAAACTCAGTTGCTCACTTTGTATCTTCAAACTGTCAAAAAGTGAAGCTTGAAGTTGTCAAAACAATTCTGTCAAATGAAACCCTCACGTCGTAGCTCTGATCTGATGTTAATGATCCTTGAAATGTAATGTATGGAAGATAGGAGAAAATTAGAGACGGGATAATTTCAGCTGTACTGAGTAAGGGTTTCAATATGACAGGTAAAACTTCCAGTTGAAAGGACAACAGCTGCTGAAAAACAGACATAACTTTTCCTATTCTTGGTGTTTTTGTTCCAAGTTGTTTCAAGCTGGTTGCCAGCACATTAACTGCCCTGGCAACTATAGCCAGAACAGACAGCCTGGTGCAATAGATCAACGGTTATCTAGTTAGTTACTTCAGACAGCCAAAGTGTTTGTTTAGCGAGTCGACATCACAGAGACAGACCTCATCCTTGTCTGACAACAATGACAATCTGTAGTGAGCTGGGTCAATATTAACTCACTGCAGTTTCAGGACCTGGACAATTTGAAGACGAGGATATAGATTAGGAGATTAGTCAGACACAAGTGAAAGGGGTTCATCTTGAAAGGCAAATAGCCCTGTTTTGCTTTCATATTCTCCCCATCACTCCATGTAATCAATAGCACAATGTTATCAATGTTTTTCAGTATTGATATACTGTAATTCACGATAGGCCTATGGCAAATGGTCTTTAAAAAAGACTAATATTTCTTAATTTGGACTACAACATTTTGATGTGCAATATGTTTGAATCCAGATTGAATGGATTTTTATATGTGTTAGGATTGCTCTTATACAACATGTACAAAGGGGTGACATTTTATAAGTCTTTTGTTTTTGTTTGTGAAGTGGTGTACCTGACTAGACCAGTATATTAGCATACAGTATGTATTAGGGTCATCAAGATATACTGGCATTGATATCATGTCAATAATACATACATGATAATATTGTGTAAATAGTCCAGCTCTTTTTTAATCATTTCATATATACAGTTATTTTTTACAGACTCTCTCCACCTCCCTTCACTCATTTCATTTTTGAGTGTAATTAATTTGCCAACAAGGAGACAAAATGCAAATAAACACAATAAACAAAGTTAAAGATGAATTTCACTGATAACATAATAATAATTATTTCTCAAATCTTTTAATAAATATTGCGATAATGTCTTTATCCTAAATTATTTTGGCCACAATAATCATGTAGTGAAAATCTGATACTGTCACAGCCCTATGCTGCATTAATCAATATATTTAAACTAACAACGGACAAAATAACTACGTGTAATGTGAAAGGGATCTCTCTGGTAAAACCAAAGAGCTGGTGGTGGACTTCCGCCGGGGTAAACACTCTCCTCCGCTACCAGTGAACATCCAGGAAATGGACATTGAGATTGTGAGATCGTATAAGTACCAGGGTGTTCACTTGAACAATAAACTGGACTGGACTGACCACACACATGCACTTTACAAAAAGGGTCAGAGCGGACTCTATCTGCTGAGGAGACTGAGGTCTTTTGGAGTGCAGGGAGCATCTTCAGGACCTTCTTCGACTCTGTGATGGCATTAGCCATCTTTTAAGGAGTGGTCTGCCGGGGCAGCAGCATCTCGACAGCCGACAGAAAGAGACTTAACAAACTCGTCAAGAAGGCCAGCAGTGTGCTGGGGTGTCCACTGGATATGGTGGAGGTGGTGGGAGACAGGAGGATGATGGCTAAGCTATCATCACTGATGGACAACACCTCCCACCCCATGCGGGACGCCCTGGCAGCTCTGTGCAGCTCCTTCAGCCACCGGTTGATTCACCCCCGGTGTGTGAGGGAGAGGTACCGCAGGTCCTTCCTTCCTGCTGCTGTCAGGCTTCACAACCAGCTGTGCTCCCAGTAGACCACCCAACACTAAAAATCAGTGCAATATAAATACACTGTGCAATACAACAATTATTATATACATCATATTTTTAGTATTCAGTTATAGTTATATTTTAGTTATTGTGGATTTTTTTACTTTTTTACTTAGTTAATATTCTTTACTGTTTATTACTTATTTACTTATTTATAATACTTGTTTTGATCTTGTTTTTTTACTATGTATCTTGTTGCACTGTCCACTATGCTGCTGTAATCCTGTACATTTCCCTACTGCGGGACTAATAAAGGATTATCTTATCTTATTTTATCTTGTCTCTCGTAGTGACAAACACACTTTTTCAGTCTCTCTCTCTACAGAGCGTTTTAGCATCTTTCAGCTAATTGTTTTGGTTTACTTCCTGGTTTTAATTCACTCTCACCGCTCTCATGGCAGCTGTTTTCAGTGGAAAAAACAATAAAAACGGACTCTACTCCTTAGAGACAGAGACTAAAGAGTCGGACTCTCCCTCAGAAGTTGGTGGAGACTAAAACAGAGCCAAAAGAAGGGTGAACTACATTTTAAACTCCAAATGAATGATGTGGCCTCTTTATCTCCAAACCCATATTTATTTTGAAATACAGAGAGAAACTTATTCGAACAGGAACACGCTCAGAAGGCTAACTATCTGACACTCTTTAGACATGGCAGCACCTTGTGTGTTCATCACTAAAATGACCTAATTATTCATCATCAACTAATTATACAGCGATTGTGCAATAACTATCTTTGTTTCCCTCCTCCTCTTCTTTTCCCTGCCAAATTCACCGACTCAGACGTCAGCTCTGAGTTCATCCACGTCCCTTCATCGATCCATCATGGTATTGAAGGGAAGTCAGTGCTTCTGTCCGTTGAGACTCGCTTCCCGCTGGATGATGTTGAGATCCAGGGAACTTGGTCCCACACCAGGCCGAGCGGCATCAGAACCACGTTGGTTACGTTTACCAAAGAGACCACAATCACTGACATGATGTACCGCAACCACCTCTTCTTTAGAGAACCCAATGTGTCTTTGCTAATACGGAAAGTGAACCAGGACGATGAGGGGGATTACCACCTGAACCTCAACATAGCTTTTCATAACGGGACAGGGCTGGTTATCAAGGAGGAGAGAACTGTGCACGTAACAGTGGACGGTGAGTGTCTGCCGATCACATGTCATCAGTTGGATGTCATCTATGGACTAAGGCCTAACTTCTTTGTCTATTCCTTAGTCCCTGTGTCCACTCCAGTCATTGAGAAGAGCCCATCATATGCGGTTGTTGAGGACAAGGCCAACGTAACCTGGACTTGTTCTGTGGAGAGGGGAACAAGAGTGGTGTTCCAGTGGCTACGGGACAACGTCGCACTAGGTCTCAGCGACAGATACCTCTTCTCCCAAGACAACTCTACATTGTTAATCAGTCCTGTGAGGAAAGAGGACAAGGGAACTTACCACTGTTTGGCCAGCAACGCTGTCAGCCAGGAGCGACACAGCAGGGCCGCGGAACTCAACGTCTATTGTGAGTATACATCTGTATTCTCCTTTTCCTTCTACTTGTCTGTCCCGGCACCAAGACCACCTGAAACTGAAAATGTAGTTCCTAACTATAGTCCCCAGAGAATTGCAATTGGGTTCATTTTCTTTTTTCTTTTTTTTCACAATAAAGGAGATAAACGTTGACGTCTCAAAGCCAGCAGCTTCTTAAACTCATAAACACTTTGATCACTTTTCTTTTACTGTGAAAGTAGCTATGAACACCAGCAATGATAGTTTACAGCAAAATGAAGTCCTTAATACCCGGCCAGTATCACAGGGACTGGAATCAGACCCTGCAAAAGACAACTCTACAGACAAATAAGTCAATGTAATTTATTGCACCTATAAGTATTTTTAATTTGTCACACACTGGAACCATATTTATTAACATTACATGGTCAGAAGGATTTCAGTAGAGTTCATTTTCAATTATTTTATAGAATTATTTTTCAAAAACATTTGATTGTAGGATGTATATGCGACAAAGCTCCTGTAATACCAATACTAAGCATCTATTGTTGTTTTTCTCTCTCTTTGCACTGTAGTAGGATATATGTAAATGTCAGTGAGATCAGACTACTTTCTGACAACTGGAAACATGTGACTGTTATGGGTATTTGCGTGGGAGCAGTCTTATCTCACAGAGCTCCTCTGTTCTGCCATAAAGCAGGTAGATAAACTGATAAACTGGGCGGTTTCTTTGAAGTTGTACCCAGAACATGATCCGTCTATGGAATCATTTGAATGTGTTTCTGTATTGATGGGACGTAAAGGATGTGGAACATTTGTGTGACAATAATCTGTTTGCATAAGCAGAGCATGTCCGTGTTAGCTTTTAGTAGCATCCTACAGAAAGTAGATTTTAATTTTACGGTTTTCAGTTTCTCTTACAGAGTTTTTAATAATGTTGTGTACGACTGACAAAGACTTTTGATTTTCTCAAAGTCATATTTCCAGTCTTACACAAGTAAAAAACATTAAAACTGATTGATGTCACCCAAAGATTCACTTTTGATGCAACATAACTGCAATATCTAGGTTGCAGTCTATCTTAGTCTATCTTAAGTCTGTCTTAACAGAATTATAACAGAAATACACTGACGTTGGCACCATTTAGAAAAAAAAGATCAATCTACTTTAGTTGTAATTATATTGTATAACATTATTTGCTTCCATTTATATGTACCAAATTAAACCCCAAATGAAATGAAACTTTTCACAAGATTTCATTTTATCATAACACATACCGACTTATTGACTTGTAGCAAGATATATTTATGGATTAATAAGCAAAGTTGTGTTCATGTTTTCTCATCCACTGAAGCTGTTTTCTTGGTTACATGTTTGTGTTCAAGGGCAACCACTGCTCTTTCTTTTCCCCCCAAGAACTGAGGATCGAACTTATGACCCTGTTTATCATAGAAAAGTAACCATTCTGTATAATACGCACCACATCAGCGGCAAACAGTCATGTTTCCCTGACCCACTCTTGCGCCTGCAGATGGCCCCTACAACCTGGAGGTGAACTCAGACCAGGGCCTGCGGACAGGAGAAGTGTTCACCATCAACCCTGGAGAGCTGGTCTTCTTTGACTGCCTGGCTGACTCCAACCCACCCAACAGCTACGTCTGGATCTCTAAGAGCCGCAACGCCACGCAGGTCATCACTGAGGGCCCACGGCTGGAGGTGCGCTCCTATAGACTGGCCCAGGCAGAAGAGTACCTTTGCCGCGCCTTCAACAACGTGACGCAGAAGCAGAACGAGGCCCAGTTTACTCTGGTGGTGGCCAGCTTAGGAACAGGTGGGTAGAGGGTGGAACATGGCAGGAAAGAGCAGAGCGTGGGGAGATTTTGGGAATCCTTTGAGATAAAGACTCTGTAAACACTGTGTCATGCCAAAAGCAGAAGAGGTTTATGAGCTATGAGATATACGTATATCTTGACAATGACAAACACCACGGCCAGCTATGGGAACATGTCGGTGGATAAAATACTTTAACAGTGTGTCCACTGTGACAAAGTGAAACCAGGTTATGGGATATAACATGAAATATACATGGCTATTATGAACCTGTCGTTTTATCTTTGTTGCCAGGTTCCTGCATTTGCAGCCTGTATTAAAGCTCAGTTGCTGGGAAAGCAAACAGTGGACAACAGCTGTCGTATTTGTTGACTAAGTTTATGGCATGTGGAGTTTCTGTGTGCTGAATGCAACATTGAAATGTTGTCTTGGTGATATTGAGAAAGGCTCACTAATGGCTACTGTTGATACTGGCTATGATTTAAAATGCTGTTTAGTGAGTCAACGGATGTCGTGACAGCAACTTTTTTTTAGTGACAGCAAAACATTACCAAAGAAGCCTCTAATGACTAACCTTTTAATAAGATGAGCTGTGCTAGCTGCTGTATGAGGCACTGTTGCTTTGAGCTAAAAAATGCTCCATGAGGGAGGTGAGGTGGAAACAAACAGGACTTTCAACCATGAGACCAGTGTTTGTCTCCGAAAGTTTAGCTGGGTGTTTGTGACGTATACTTATGTTTCGGTGTTTACGTTTTACTTTAAGTAATTTTTTAAAGCCCAACCATGATGTTTCACTTAAACCTAACTACGTGGTTTTGTTAACTAAACCTAAGCAAAGTATTTTGTTTGATTTCAAGACGTTAACCACGTGTTTAGTGTGACTGTGCGCTTGTGCGTTAGAAAGTGAAGCCATTAAGAGTCATCCTCTGGGAACCATGAACAAGATTTTATGTAAATCCAACTAACTAATAGTAGTTGAGTTATTGATGTCCAGACCAAAGTGTTGGACCAATGGGCTGACATTGCCATCCCTAGAGCCAGCGCTGGCTAACAATGAGCATTAATGTCAGTGTCCCTCCTGTATTTGTTTGCAGGGAAAGAAAAGCACAGCCAAGATGGCAGCCCTGTAACTCCTCTGGCAGCCATTACCGTCTGCTCTTTGTTCGTCATCGGCTGTATGTTGCTGTTCTTCCTCAGGAGAACCTGCCATCCTAAGAGAGGTAATGTCTATTTCTGCTGCTTACAGAGGTGGTTTTCTAAGCAGTGAGTCCTGCAACATGTTTAAAATGTTTCATGTTTGAAATCTGAATGATGAGATGAGTGAGACAACGCTAACTGCTTGCCAGACTGATTTCTTACACGTTGAGGTTAATCATAAATGTAAATAACTTGCAAATGTCAGTCAAACCGAAGGTAACCATGGCAAAGTATCTACCGCATTTGAATAAGGCAAGGTAATATTTTAAAACGTGTAACTTCTGTGTTTGTGAATAATTATTTCCCACTGTCTCTTTCTATCCGTCATCAACAGTTCTTATGAGCATTTACAACAGGTAAGCTTGAATATGAAATCAATACAGATATGCACAATTGCATTTTTTATGTACATTATGTATGCTTTAACTAACAGCTTTATTTGCCTGTTTTTGACAGACCACTTTCAGAGCAGAAACGACCACATCGTTCAGGTGAGCTACCTGCTGGACACTTCGATTATAGAGTATGCCTCATGCCATTATATTTACATATGTGTATATTTATATTACATCATATTTTGAGGTGGTTGTAGGGATGAACAAGGCCTCGGTTTTCCATTAAACTGAAAGTCATTCCCAAAAAAACTGGTTTGAGATAGGAGGAGTTTAAGCAGAAAAGTAAACAAGGTCAAGGTGTCTCATTGATTCCAACCGGAAAGCAGTTTAATGGTGTCATTACACTCTATGATTTATCATGTTAAATTAAAGTTTGACTCATAATAGCTAAGCACTGGTCTGACATTGAAGCCTGTGTATTAACAGGCCATGAAGATGCAACAGAAGACTTTGGCATCTACGAGTTTGTTTCCATACCTGGGAAAATGGAATCAGCACAGGTATTTAACATGTTGTACATCAATATGGATTCAGTAATAACGTGGCAAGATTGTACGCCTTTGTCTATTGTTGGAAAGTTGTGTGTAGTTTTTAAAATGTGCCCGTGCAACTGTCCTGCAGGTATCATGCAGATCTCTGGCTCACCTCGAGTCAGTTCAGGATATGCACACCACCATCTACGATGTGATCAGGCATGTTCCTGAAACCCCGAGTCACAGTTTGCTGGAGTAAGCTGGAGAGTTGAGATGGAACTTACAGTCATTTCACTTGAAGAGTAGCTTTATTCTCTGTTATCAAAGCCTGAACCTCTGGCTTTGGTGGGCCATTTTTTGCACAAGAGATGACGGAGGCTTGATCGTGCACTGTTACTGTCCACAGTTTGGGACGGATGTCAAATGACTTTTGCTGACATTATTGTGAGATGAAAGTGCATGTATGGCTTAAATGTTTTTTTTAATTGTTTTTTTTATGTGAAAGTACACAAGTTGAAACAGCTTTGCTTTTTTCATTCAAAACTTTAGGTCATACTAAACCAAGCAAGTAAGTCTTAAAGCATGATCTTATGAGGTACATTTAAGGTACCAAAACTGGTCAAAACATGTTTAATTTTAAATACTAAGGTTTTATTTGCCATCTCAATAATATATTTCTAATTTCCTATTCCTGCCAATGAGAGTCTGTTTTGTGACAAGTGTTATGATGAATGTGTTCTCTTGTATGAAATATATTTAGGTTAAATGTAAATATTGTACATGGATTACACGCCAGATTCTTTATTCTATTTCTATGTTTTTCTCCAATCTATTTATTCCCATAGAAACACTTAACCCTGTTTCCACAAATGTAGCATTTTTTTCAGCTCAACATGGATGTAATGAAATGCTGAAACAAGGAAAAGGATGAACGATTCTTAAATTATTGTACAGTTTGCATTCACATGCTTGTTTTCTACTTTATTAAATATATAACTGTTTACTATTGTGGGTCATTTTCAAATGTGCATACTCCATTTCTGCATTTATATTTGCACTTCTTTATATGTCTTTTTCATAGAATGGCAATTGCAGTAATGGCTTGAAATGAACAATTTTTTCAATCACAGATCCTGAGAAAACTAACAAATAGCTGAAGCCAGCAAACATGTCAGTTGTTCTGCTGCTTCACAGTCGGTCTTTGTCTAATGTCTTGGCAGTGATCTCTCTTCTCTAAGTGTTTGAGTTGTATTTGTTCTCTCAAATTGCTGCAGAGTGCTCGTTGCTGTCCGCCAAGTTGCATTGGTATGCTGTGTACCTGGCGCGATATGGAGACAGGCAGCAACAGACGGATGGTTCAGTGTGTGGCAGAGTGCCCTCCACCTGCTCCTGCTGACACCTTGTCACGAGTATACAAAAATGTGTGGGCTTGCTTGTCTGCTTGTGTGTATGTAAAAGAGAGGGAGAGGAATGATGAGGAAATAGACACAGACCAGACACAAAGGTGTTTGTTTAGAAAATAGAGGTCAGAATTTATTCACTCACTCTTCTGTTATTTTCCTCACCTTTAACCACTTAAAGGCAGCAGTCTGCTTTCTGCTAGGATTCAGCTTTTTCCCAAAATATTATGTTGTCACTCATGTACTGAGTGCTTCCGTTCAAATTTATATCCAATGCTTTAGCACAAAAATATCCAAACAAGCTAGAAGATCTAGCATTGAAACTTTTAAAACTTTTAAAATAGAAACATTTGAATTGATTTGGCCCTTAGGTGGTTTATTTCCAAAGAAAACTGTGGACTTATTAGGTGAAACTAAATAAACGAAACTATGCAGACATTATTACTTTAGAATATTGACAATATATGTCAACAAGACAAATTATTGCACATACTGTATATTAGTTTGCTTCTTCACTGGATAATAAACCTGAACTTCGGACTGAGTCATAAAGTGCTGCAGCACTCAGTATGAGGTTCATAAGCATGCTTCTCATGATGCTCACCTGCAGAACAACAAGCACTTTATTGAATCAAGCTCTAATTATAGCTGATGAACTGACAAACTGAGTGTGCAGTGTCTTTGTGGTGGCATCTCCGGGTAGGGGTTACAATCTGTTCCGTCTCAGTGTATGCTTTAAGGGAGGCGCCGCACTGTGGATGACTGTCTAACAAACAACAGAGGAGTAAATTCACCTAAGGAGAGAGACCTCACCTTCATTTGACTGGGAAATAGCCTGAGGCTTCATTAACCAGGAACTAGAACTCACAGTGCCTGCTGTCTGCTGCATGCTTCCTGCTTTTAACCAAGTGCTGCTTGCAATAACACCCAAGGGGACATCTACAAAACAGGCTGAATGGGTTTCCATGCACCATTTTTGTAATTACTTTTAACGAGACAGAGCCAAGTCTAATTACTCGGCAGAGATAGAGCTACATGGCATTGGGTCATGGATAACATGACATGACATGTATTATGTATTGGTAATCGTATCCTGTTTGAGACCAAATTATATGTATTTAATAACAGTATTTGTCAGCAACTAAATATCGTATTTATTATGCAAATACCGTAAGCTACAGTCAGTTGTATGTGCTCAAGTATACTCATATCCATAACTTGGTTAAAAGAAGCTATACAGTCCATCAAAAGTACTGCATTCAAAAGAGTATAAATACTGATTATGTAGAACAATGCCCCATGTAATATTACAGTATATAATAATATAGGATGATTATAATTGATGCACTCACATGTCAGCAGCATTTTAATGTTGTAGCAGGTGCATGACAATCAAATCTGATCCACTTTAAACTGTTGGGAAGTTTAATTGCATCATGACTTATAAAATGACACATGTTTTCAACATTGTGGCCTACTTAAGCACAGAAATGGGCTAAATTAAGTCAGTTACATTCCACTGTTGGCTGGGAAAAGAGAAAAAGATATATAGCTGTGTAATAAGATCAGTCAAGGTAATTTCAGTACAACCTGTGGAGCAATTATAGGCCTTTTTCAAAGTCGACATCTTGACACAACATTATCCTAACATAACATAAACAATCCGTTCTGTTCAAGTGTCAAGCCATGACAGTGTGACAGGGGTCTCAGCATGCACTGTAGGACCCACAGCCATCATTCGTTTTACAGCTGTGTTTTTCCTTCCGTGACATGTCAAAATGTCTCACCTGACACCTACAGGTAACTGAGAGAACAAAGAAGTAGAGTACGTTTTTCAGGGAGGCAAAATAAACCTTTCTGTCTAATATTCTATTCTGTGATGTTAAATTACTACCATCCAGTGGTGCGAGACAGCAATACATGTATCATGTTATTAATGTTTTTCAATACTTTTGTATTTAAGTTTCATTATTTTTTATTCAGAACACCATATTCTTTCAATTTAATCCAAATATTTTCATTTTTTACACTGGTGAGATTCTGTCAGCGGCCACTAGCACGCCTCCCTCGAATAAAACTACCTTTCCCAGCATGCTTTAGGATTGTTCCTGCCGTACCGGTCACGTGTCGGTCAACTATGGCTTCCTTCTCGTAGTGATGGAGGCGCATCGTTAACAACAAAACAAAAACTGCAACTTTGTTCAATCATTTGTCCAAGTGCCACAAGTTGGATTCACAATGCAGAAGATCAAGTCGCTCATGGCCCGGCAGGTGAGCAAAGCGGCGCCACAAAAACCGTTGTCTTTGTCAGCTGCAGGTAGCTAGCATGCTAGCTAGCTAGGCTAACTGGCGAATTTGACAGCTCATCGTGTGGCTCATTAAAGGGCACATTCAGCCCGAGTAACAACAGCTTATTTAACGACAGCACAGCTACGAGCTGTTTCACCCACATCAAGATAACAAAGGTGTAGTGACAGGAATACCCGCGGCCCAGTTGTAAGAGTTTACCATTCAGACAAGCACAACAACAGTGCAAACTGGGCGGTTAGGGAAGTTCTCATCTTGCACTGCAGTAATGTTGCACTCATTGGTTCACCACTGCACAACAGAGCATATCGCAATCACAAATTTGTGCGTCGGTTCCACTTTTTCCTGTATGACAAGCTATGTCACGACGGGGACAGGTTCCAACTGTGTAAACCCGTTTAGGTTACTTGACTTTTTTTGGGGCTTTTGAAGTCTTTAACATTGACTCTTATTTTGACAGGGCCTGAAAAGCCCCCAGGAAAGCATGGCAGACCTCAGTCCTGTGGAGAACCTGAGGATCCCGAGCAAGGTAAACTGCATGTCGAGGCTGAAGCATTTGTGCTGCATATCCTAATACAGTCATCATCTCTCTCAAGTTGACCACAGCTAATGACGTGTTCGAGTAGTAAAAAGGTAGATCTACCTGTCCTATGTTTAACTATATTCACTGTGTGGTAAGATCTGAGTAGCTTAAAGCTCCCTGTAATTGTTGACAACTGAAACAAGGCTGCTGTATGTCATACCTTTCAAAACACTGCATATTATTAATAGAAGCCAAGTCCAGTCAAACTCAGAAGCAGTTACATCGACAGTACTGATACAACCAGATTAAATGCTTTTATATTTGAATTAGACTTATTGTATAATTTGTGAGTCAGACATACTGTTGTTCACAATGTACTGTATTAATATACTTTGAATTGCTTCCTGTAAATCGGGTAAATACCACCTACTGTTTTCTATGCAAAGAGACCGATGGCTCCCATTACTGTCACTTAAGGACACGCTTCACATCAATCTCAACACCAGGAGTGTGATTATAGTATTATATGTTATAGTATTTTAGCGTTTTTTTTTTTTTTTTTTTTTGCATGGCAGCGTTTTAAAATGCAATCAGTCATGCTTATTCACAGGAACTATTTGTCATTACCCACTTGTACAAATTCAATTTGCTAAGAGCAGGCCGAGCGAAGCATACATACGTTATAGTGGCTCTCTATAACGTATAGTCACTAACGTGGCTGCGTACAGTTTGGAAGGCGACCAACTCCAATTATTCACAGTGCAGGGTGATATCAGCCAGACGTTTAATCTCTCTCCTTTTGAAAGACTGGGGCGTTTAACAGGTGGACATTGTTTTTGATTGTTGTTCCAGTTTGGCCTTAATGTGTATTTTCTGCCTCGGTTGAAAAAACACAGCAACAGATAAGATTAAAAGGAAGTGTGCTTTTCTGTCAATTCATCTATGAGAGTTGAGAAAGATGAAGCTGAGAGTTCTGACATTTTTTTAGACGATATACAAGTCTGTCGTTGCAAACCTGTTGTTGCAGAAAACCACCCAAAGAGGCAGGTCAAGCTCAAGCTCAAGATAAGATAAGCGGCCATTTTATTCTTCGGGTGTAATGAGAGCATAGACACAGAGGGGAATGTTTCAGGAAAGATTAGTCTCTTCTCATTGGATGCATGGCTTTGGGATTGCTAACAGGTAATTTGGCCAAACTGGATATGTAGACATCAAACACGCTGGTAGGCCTGAAATATTCACCTGTGTTAGCATCATGGCCCACAAGAATGACTTTTAGTATTATTGCACCGGCTTCTTATGTGATATGAGGCACCGTAGTCTAAGCAGACAGAAAAAAATGGGATTATATGCACTTCAGCCTGCCTCTATATATTACAGATGAATTAAGTCTCCTGTGTTTACTGCAAACACCTGCTTATTGTGTGCTCAGCCAATACACGGGTCCCATTATTTGATGATACGATGCACTGACTTTATTTACTTTTGCCGCGGGGCCTTTCAGCTTTCAGGAAAATGAAATGGGAGCCCACGCCGGCTTTGTGTCCACCGAAACCTACCGTCCTCTGTGATTAAAGGTGAATACTCCTCTCAATATGTTACGGCCACTGCGGGGGAACACTGCGTAACTTAACCCACCGCTCTGTTCAGCAGATTGAGACCAAGGTGCCTGGCTGCATGCGTGTATCTTCAATACTTAAGCTGATACTGACTGCCTGGTACCAGCCGTGTGTTTCCAACCATTTTAGCCACGATTCACATCATTTATCATCCTCCAGGAGCTGACAGCAACATCTGGCTTGCAGGTGGGGGAATTGAGAATTGATGCTGTCAAGTCAATATTTAGACATGACGTGTTGGGTCGATGGAGTATGAATGATACGCAGGGTAAACATAAAGATACACCAGTTAGCCTGAAGTTGTAGATTTGTGTGTGTGTGTGTGTGTGTGTGAAGGCAAACGGACTGCCATTCATGTAGCGCGTGTATCCAAAAGCACCGATTTACAAGCACACTTGACATGCTGATGTATGAAGTCAAGGAGCCAATCGGTTAACTGATTGGCTCCTTAACTTCCGCTCTACTTGTGACCTCACCAGAGATAGCTTATTTGGTTTGATGTAGTCAGTAACAGGAAGTTCCGACTGATGTTTTCTGCAATTGTTGCTCAGTTCCACATGATCCTGTGCAGCTGGTACTGTTTTGTAAAGACGCCAAATGTTGAAATTGAGTTGTAATTTGAATAGATCTACCTGTTTTTCCCTGTTCTGGTGAATGCACTTAAAACGACTGGTGCACTTTTGTAATATGGTTTCTATTATGTAGTGTTACTGTGCGTAGCTGCTTCGGGGTGTAAGACGAGTCTATTGATTGTTATGTTATACGTTATGTTTTGTGATACTGTATAGATTCTCGACAACGCTGTACATTTTTAATTAATAGTTTACATGCAAAGATTAAAAGCCTCACAATACATCGCCTTGCTTACAGTACAGCAGTATAATGAACGGTAACACCCGTACCATGATGCGTATTGTATCGCTAGTGTCTTGCCAATAGACTTAATGGCCGCTGAGGTGAACCGTTTGCTTTGGCTCCTCTCACAGATGTCAGGTCTGATATATGTGCAGACAGAGGTCAGAGGTCACACTCTTGGCTCTCTAGCAGCAGTTTACCCTCAGGGGGGGAACCTTTCTCTCAACGACAGTCTGATCCCCCTTCGTTCACCTGCGGCCCTTCACAAATGTACGTGTCCGTCTGGGCAATGAGCCAAGAGCCTACATTTAATAACGGTTGTGTGAAAAACAAAAGCTAATTTCTATAATAAAATAATATACATCATTTAAATGGCTCCAAGCTATTTTTTGATCACTTTCATGGGTTTTTTTCTTACATTTTGTCAATTTCTCTTGGTTCCTGAAATGGTATAAGCTGCTCTGCGGATTCACACGAAAACAAACAACCCTTTTATTTATCATCCCAAACCTTTTTGTTCAAAGCTGTTCTCTTTCTGCGAGTCACTTGTAATGATGTACTTGGCCGGTATTGTGCTGCGCTATATCTCTTAACCTCTTCTTTGCAATCTTATATTGTCCGGCAACAAGACATTCTAGGTATTAAATACTTACTTCTAGTAATAAACAGAGGCGCAGGAAATCCAATATATCCCAACTGGTATATTGAGGCAGCCACATAAATGGCCTCTGATGTGATTATTTCACAGATATAAGTAGAGCTAAAACGGTTTGTTGCAGCCCTGAATGGAAGAGTCACACAGGTTTAGTGAAGCACTGGAACAAGCTGGTACATTCTATCTGTATGATGCTGAGAATGTTTCATTTCACTTTGTTGAGGCTTCTGTTCCTTTATAACCTGCTGTTTAGTGCACCGTGTACATGCAGTTACCATTTCCCACCAGCAGGGGTCACCACCAGCTCACCCATCACCGTGTTACCGCATGAGGATTATTTATTAATTTACACGGCCGAGAGCATCGCCTGCTCAATGTTGTAGTGCTTCCTAAAATTTTAGGATGAATGGCTGAGTGCCTCCGATGTGCAGTATGCAGCTGGGAGGAAGTTGTTAGTTTACACGGGCTTTCTTTAGGGGGGAACACGGCTCACTTTGACATTTCACACTTAGTTTCTGAGATACTGTTTTCTAATTATACGCCCGTTCACTCATCCAACACAAGACCTGCAGGACATTGCAGATACAGGGAGCCCTTTGCGTTTGACGCAGTGATAGATGGTGGAGAGTTACCGTTTAGGGAAAATATGATTACATACTGACAGCAGTGTTACAGCCTGGATGTTGATGTATTGATTGTGTCCTGATGGCCCAGAAGACGAACGTGTTGAACCCTTTTTGTCGGAGCAGATGTGGATATACATCAATATTCTGATCACAATGAGGATGTTTTGATTTGTTCATCTAATGAACGATTCCATGGTGGAAATAATTGGCCCTCCTCCTCTCCTCACGGGCTTTCTCTCCTGAACCTCCTTTTTTTGTTGATTCAATTTTCGGTGTTATCAGTGGAGCACCTTTTTGTTCTGCAATTGATTTTCCTCATTCAGTCATCAGCCCTCCACACGAACATCCTCTTTGATGATGCTTGTTAAATGTCCCACACTTTGGATGCAAATATATTTCTAATTTCCGCAACGAGAGGAGAATTTCATTAATTTGTGATTGTGGGGGGGCTAAAGGGTGGGTTGTTTTCCCTCCCTCATCCTTCAAAGTGAAATTTGATCAAAGCCTCACGGCGGCTGATGTTGGGCGTCTGGTTTTGTTTTGTGCTCACACAGCGGCAGGGAGAGAAAGGGATTATTTAACCTGAGGTAGCCTCTCAAGGAGTCGTTCACTTAAAGATGTTTAGAGCTCCGTACGTCACTGCAGGTGGGATATGGGGGGGGGGGGGGGGGGGGAGGGGGGGGGGGGCACGGGGGAGGTGAATTGCTCTCACCACGCAGGAGCGGCTTCACATCATTGTTTTGGTGTTTCGCTCATTTCTCTCTCTCTCTTTTTCTTTTCACTGGAACTTTCGCCACCAGTGAGTCACCCCCCCTCCCCTCCCTTCCCTCCCCTCTCCCTTTCCCTTCTTATTTGAGCTGATTTGCCACCCTCCCTTTTGATGGCAGGAGTGTGATCCCCTACCTCTCTACCGCCCCTTTCCAATCTCACACGCTCACCCACACATTTCCCCCCCGGGGGCCTTTGCACACTCCTTCTTCTTCACCTGATTCAAACATGGCAGCGCACACACACTTGCCTGTAGGTCTGTGCATTTCACACACACACAGACACAGGCACAGACGCATTATAATTCTTTATTACCATCCTCACAATTAGCCTTGTATATAAACTGTATATATGGCGTGTATAAAAAGGGACTCTGATTGTGTGTAATTGAATTAAATGAGTGTTTTACTGTGAGCATTAAACTGGCACCAGCGCTCCTGTATAAATGTCACTCAGCAAGACGCACTTACCCGCCGGAGGCAGACCCGGTTACATCGGGGGGGGGCGGGCAATGCTTCAGGGCCTCGCTGATCGTAGCTGTGGAAATGTTTGTGGTTAGGAAGGTGTGTAACGGGGTTTTCTCCATCAGTGTCTGCTAGAGTCGATATGAGCTGATGGGTGCAGATCTTTGATGGAGATTTCTCTATTTTTAGGATATTTGATAGAGTATGAATGCTTATAGGGGGCTAAAGGATTCCCAAGCCTACCGTCTATTCTTAGTGTCATTGTGCTTTAATGGGCTGTGAGACTCAACATTACCTGAGATAAAAGATTCACACTCATTAATCCGCCTAGCATGCACATTTCCTGTTTATGGGATGTAATATAAGGCTGTATCAGAGACGATGCAGAAAGGAGACTAGCGACAGATCCTGAGTCTATTGACTCCAATGGGAGAAGTGAACGTGAACACAGTTTGTGACCATAGTTACCTAAGTATATGTTTCACAAGCCACATATCATCTACACATTCTGACGCTAAAATGCCTTTTATTTTGTCACAATGGAGATAATTTGCTTTGTTCGAGATCTTTTCTCTGTCTCTCCGAGATCTGGCAACTAACGCCCGATAAGCTAACTCATTTAAATATGGCTGTTCCTGTTAGATGTGTAAATATCTAATGTTATCAAACCTCAAGTTTCACCACCCAAAAACTACATTTTACAGAACAACATGATAACGTTCATCATACTATCATAATGCAACCTCTGTACGTTATTTAGCCGAGCAGGACCGCACGCTTTCAGAATTTTGGCACCAATCCGTTACCGGAGGAGGCTTCTCGTGACGTCCCGAATAACTAGCAAGAATTCCACCCTCAGAATTTGGTTCGGCATCCCACGCTTTGGTTATCGACCCGTGACTATATCTCGGCTCATTTGGGAATAAGAGCTCAGAACCCTTCATCTAAAAGCCTCGACGGACGCACCGCCTGCTAATCGATATGGCTCTGATGTTTCTCTGAGGGGGGAATCCCTGTTGTCTTTTTTTTCCGGTCATTCCTTTCTTCTCGTCTCTTCCTCTCAAGGCTCTCCGCCATCCCCCCGTGACAGCTAGCCAACGAAACAAGCCGCAATCTGCTTCCAAACGAAATGTTTTTTCGACTTCACTTTCCTCCTCCTTGCTCCTTGTTCTCTACCTCATTTTCATTCTGTCCTCCCTTCACAGTGTCCTTCACCCTTGCTCGTGTCCTTAAACTCCTCTGTACTATCTCCATTCCCTTTATTCTTCTGTCCCTCGGCATCTTTCCTATTTTTTTTTTTTGCTCTCTGCATTACCCCATTTCTTTCTTTGATTTTTTTCATTACTTAGGAAATGATGTAATTCTCTGTATTGGACCCTCTTCTGTTTGTGTCCCAGTGTTGTTGGAACTTTTTTCTTTTCAAGTGCTTACTTCAGGGACATCTTTTAACTCCACTCGTTCTCTCTCTCTCTCACTGTGTCTCACACTCCTCCAGGAGGAGTTGCGGGAGCTGAGGGAGCAGCCCATCGACCCGCAGGCGGAGCAGGAGCTCATCGAGAGCATCGAGGAGGTCTACTTCTCTACCGACTCCTTCGATATGGTGCAGCACGAGCTGGAGGTCAGATACTCTTCTCTGAATGAGCACGCAACATGCGCTAGTGACTGAATTAGCAACACTCGCTTGTAAAATGGTGACAAGAGACTCCCAACTTCCCACGCGCCCTCCATTAAAAAAAAGAATCTCATCAAACCCATCACTAAAATACAGCAATATTGCATTTTCTGATATGAACATATACGGTTACGGTATGGTTTCCTGCACCTTGAACCTCACCAGAGTCGAAGCTCTTTCTCACCTGAGCTGCCGTTTCTTCCACTTCAGCGGAGCTGCGTACGCACCGTTGACATCCGGATTGATGGATTGCATCCGCTCAACAGAGGAAGGGTGTGAAATCTCATTAGATTTATCTTGGTATTGCTACACCATCTAAAATGAGACTCTCAGTCAAGGGGAAAGTAATTACCCATCATCCTCTGGGCCATGGATTTGTAATATCTTCTTCCCTGAGCAGAGTTTGTTTACTGTTTACTAAATAACGCACTCCACCTTTTTGGCTAATCTTACTTATGATCTGGCAAAGTGTATTTCTTAGAGGAAATTATTTTAGTTTTATTTTTTTTCTAATGGAGGAAGAGCTAACAGGATACTTCCATAGTTCTGCTCTCAATTCAATTTCATTCAATTTAATGCAACTTTATTAATCCACAAAGGCAATTTGATTTGGGACACGAGTAAAAACAGACAGAGACAGACAATTACAATCAAAAGAAGTGTTTAGGACTGTGTTATACTGAGAGTGTTGCATTTAAAAGGTAATGAAAGTAAGGAAATGGTCGACATCGAAGAGAGGCTTGGTCTCGCTTGTACTGAGTGACCTGAGGATGACAGGCCGCATGGTGGTAAATGTAGAGGAAACGTCTACAAATAGGAGCCAGGAACAGTTAAGAATCAGCCCACATTGTAGTTCGGCAACCATACTGGAGATAGTTTAAGAGGGAGTGAGCCGTGTCCTCTTTTGAGGGATTTCCATGGCAGCAGGACCACCTCTTGGTCCCTGGTGTTCTCGGAGCTGCTGGAGGAGGGGTCCTCCAGAGGCCATCAGATCCAGCAGTCTTGTTGGAAACGGCGGCTTTAAGCCGCTTTAGCACATCCTGTTTACGGAGGGGAAGTGCGTGGTAGATGACAGAAGGCCGGCTTTGTGCGCCGCCATGTTGGATGCGGGGTCGGGCCTCTCGAAGCCGGTGTACAACCTTATTAGTTTGTTAGGCAGAGAGGAGTCACTGGGTTTTAGCTTGGATGACGGCCTGTTTCACCTCTCTGTTGACCTGTTTTTTTCTCTTCAGCAGATCTTTTAAAAACAGCCTTTCTTCTCTCACTAAGGATGCCTTTTGACTCTTTTATCTTGGATATTTATCTGTCTGACACACGCCTTTACTACACTGAACAGTAGAGACAATTGGAAGCAGCATGCAGCTGTGTAGTTTTAAGTTGAGCTTACAGTGTTTTTGTGGATGTGTCTGCAAAAGGGTTCACCTGTGTCGGAGGATATAATGTAAACAAACAAGGTTGTATATTTGAATCTGTGTGTGTGTGATCATAGAAACTACCACCTGAGCTGAACCTGCAGGAGCTGGAGGAGTACAGGGACAAGCTGAAGAGACAACAGGCAGCAGTAAGTATCTCCCTCTTCCTCTCTCTGTCTCTCTCTCTCTCTCTTGCGCTCTCTCTGTGGGTCTCTCTCTCTCTCTCTCTCTCTCTCTCTCTCTCTCTGTGTACTCAGCTCCACCCCCTTGTGTCACTATTGGTTCCAACAGAACAAGAACTCAATTCTTCAGTCCACAAACTTTGCATACACAGTCTGTGGTTGTGTGTGCTTGTGTGTGTGTGAGTGAGAGGCCAGGCAGGAACATTAACACTCCTGATTGGTTTTGATGATGGTCGTTTAAGCTTAAAAGGGACTTGCAGTTCGTCCTTTGTGCCTTGCAGACTCCGTTGACGTCAGTAGCTGCAATTTTGTCGCACTACACAGCAGGACCCTTTACATAGTGGCCGTCACTCTGAGGTCAGTCAGGTACTCGCAGTGTCAGACTCGAGAGCTGGCCGGTCAACAGATTCTATTTATAGAAACACGTGGTCGAGCAGTTCTTTTCCCATCTGCATCCTCAATCGTCAGTCTAGTGCAGATTTAGCCCACTTATCCTCCTTCCTGACAAGCTTCTGTACTTTCGCACACCTGTTTGTCTCCATCACTCCCTCAGCTCTACAAACTTTTTTTGTACTTTGCCACATCTATTCCCTCCACACTTCCTCTTATCTCCCTTTTTCATACACGCTGCTCCTTCCCCACCTCCCCCTCCTTTGACACTTTTGGCAGTTTCCCACAGAGCCATCTGTCAAGTTGGGACGATGCTGCAGAATTTGTTGCCCGTGGAATGGTGAGACCTACAAGTTAGAAAAGTCCAGGAGTACACAAACGTACTGTCACACATACCCTCTCTCTGTCTCTCTCTCTCTGGCAGTGAGCCCGCAGGCGCCTCATTAGAATAGCCACGGTAATTGGTCCAGTGTGCGGTCAGGCAGAAAAATCCACATCTATGTTTCTCGGCGAGCCTAAATACGCAAACCCTCTACCTGTTTGTCTACCTCAATGCCCCGAGGCTTTTGTAAAATATCTTATATTATTATAGCATATACCTCCTTTCATGTGTTTTTTTTATTATTTTTTTTATTTTATCGTCTTTCTTTCCGACAATCATCATCTTGCTGTTGTACGTGTTTAATTCCACAGATGTATTCCCATGAGAGATGAGAAAGCAATAAATCATTACATACATAGTGTACACAAATAGAGTACATATGCAACAGCTGTAGTGTACACATGTATACATACATTAGGAGCAAGACCCGAAAACCCCCAAAGCAAAACGAAATACAAATGTACAAAAATATTCCGTATTTGTGTTTTTCCACTTTCTCACTATCCCATCAATCAGTCAGACATTTTCAGAATAATTACCAGGAGGTGGAGATTGCACCTGTTTCCATGAGGAATAATGGCTTTCTTTTGTTCTGCAGTTAATCATTTCAGCAAACACCGTGACTATCATTCCAATCCCTGCTAAACACAGCAGATGTGTATTTAGTATCTGTAAACATGGAGCCTCATGCCATGTACATGTACCCTACCTGGTAAACACAAATGTGACACTCTTTTCTTGGTTGAATACGTTTGTCAAGGTTTATGAGGCTTGAATTACATTAAAAGAAATTAGTTTGAGATATTCTAGTAGAGCACGGCATAAAGGGGCTGCTGAATTTTTATTTTTCACATTTGAAAAAAAATCTGAATTAATTTGACAAATACTGCAAAATAATCCTGCACACACGCTTATTGTATTGTGAAGTCGTTCATGTGGATGATTGTACGTGGGCCGATTCAACGAATGCATTCCTTTGTCCTGCTGCCACTGATGGAAAGACCGTCTCTATAGTTGAGCAATATATACGTGTGCATTCTTACTGGACACACACGGACTCTCTTACACACACACACACACACCTACACCTACAGAGGCTCGTAGTCGTCGGTGTGTGAAATAGAGCAAAGCCCTCTGAAGAAGTGATAATAGTGCTTTCAGATTCTCACTATGAGGCTGCTTTCCTCCTGGCAGATGATACAGGTGTGTGTGTGTGTGTGTGTGTGTGTGTGTGTGTGTGTGTGTGTGT